TAAAATCACGAGTTCGGGAAAATCTTTCTATGGTCAATATTATATCTTAATCTATCCTAATCCTAAGTGAAATATTTATAGCTTAATAATTTAAAAAATAATATTAATAAAATATATAAAATACCTTTTTATGGTATTAGTTTATAAAGATAAATAAATTATACGTAGCTAGCATACTATAAACATAAAGTATTCCAAAAAACCTAAAAAGTTTTAAAATCGCACAAAATACCCTGAAATTTTTAAAATTATAAAAACTATCCCGATGTCTAAAAACTTAAAATAACAAACATAAAATTAAGAAATTAACAACGAAGAATTTAAAATTTGGGAATAACATCTTAATATCTCAAAAATTATAGAAACACCCTCAAAATTTCAAATTACAAATAGGCACCTGAAATTTTAAAATTTCAAGACTTACAAATAACATAGATGAATTCAAGGGATTACTATAATGCACATGAAAATTTCTAATATTTCAAAACTTAAAACAACAAATATGAAATTAAGAAATTAACAGCAGTCTCTAAAGGATTTTAAAATTTTTAATTAACACCTTCAATGTCGAAAAAATTATAGAAACTCCCTCAAAAAGTTAAAATTATAAAAAACAACCCTAAAATTATAAAAATTTTAAAATTTGTAAACAATAAAAGATGAATTCAAGAGATTACCCCATGCACCTAAAAATTTAAAATTTACCAAAATTAACCTCAAAGTTACAAAGTTCCAAACCATAAAAAAGGGTTAAAATTTAAAATTTGGCAAAAAAAAGTATAATTGCTAGATATTCTTTCATTACGATATATATATTTAATTTCCAATTTAGGGTTTACTATCCCTTTTCAGCATCTAAAGATAGTCTAAGTTGATACTCGTAAACAAAAGTAATAAGAATTGATTAAAAATATTCGGTTAAGAAATAAAATTTTAAAAAATATTATAGCTTAAAAATTATCATCACCATATAAATTAAAGCAAATTTATAAAATTTTACTAATAAGTTGGAGCAGCAAAACACACTAGTAACATTAATTGATAGATGTTTAAATCCATAAAAATAATAAAAAAAACTATAATATAATAGCTTATCATTAATTAATTATAATTTAGAAACATTAATATATGATGTTAATATTATTTATAGGGTAAAAGAATACAATAAATTATGTATAGAGAAACTATCAGAATATTCAGAGATATCATTCAAAAGAATCAAGCTCTTTTCATTACAAATAGAAAAGTAACGAAAATAAATCTAAAATTCAGAAAATTTCCATTAATTATTTGAATTGGTATTAACATAAAGCATGTCTATTAAAGAAGCACCAACTAAGTTATATTGAATAATAATTAAATAATTTTATCCTAATCAAACAAGAATTCTCCATGGAAGATGTAAGAAAAGTTAGTGAACATTTATAAATTTTATATTTTGTTCTTCAAATACCAAAGAAATTAAATATTAATATTATAATCTAAGGCAAATTGGCAATAAAAATACAGGTATTTAGTTTAGATCTTTGTAAAAAATAATAGAGATAGAGCAAATATAATATTATTGACGTAACAGAAACTCTTATTGGATGCACATCAAAAGAATTCATTGTAGAAAAGAAAGAGGTAGTTCCTAATCTTATTTAAGTGATAAATTAGGAACACAAAGAATTATATATATATAATTAATATTTATTTTTATTGAAATAAAAAAATTAAAGTTTGTATTTTAAGAAGTTTGTGTTGAACATCAAAAATACATTTAACTTCTTTATGAAGTTAAACAAAAGATAAAAGATTAACGAGCCCAGGAACGATAATAGAACAAAAATTACAACTCTAGCCTGATATCATAATCGAGTAGATGATGAAGATATCACTCTAGAATTGCCCGAGAAAAAGATAAATTTAAGAATGGATTGATATTAGCTCAGTAAATAAATAAAACAAAAGGAAAAAGGATAATATTTTCTGAATATTATATAGAATAGTTTAATTATTTTGAGTGAATTTAGAAATCTTTAGAAGGGGGTTTCATGAGCTTTTTTGAGTATTTTTATATGCTTGTGCAGATGCTTTTATCATATGAAAGTATACTAGAGTTAACATTAATTTTTAATTTATAATTTTTTATGAGGTCTATCAATGATTAGGAACAAACTTTATATTCTCTTTTGTATCGTTACAACATACTTTTAAGCAAGTATTTTGCCTCATTGGTTTTAAATATTCACATTTCTTGTATAAAACTGTTTTAATATTTTTCACTCTTGCAACACTGTGCTTTCTCAAGTAAAGCTTAGTTTCGTGTCAGTCAATATAATATAAAAATTTAAATTAGCTTCAAATTATTTATTTTCTATCAATTCAAATATTAACATAAAAATTTAAATTGGGTGTAGCCCATTTAAACAAACATCAAAGAAAATAACTAATCACAATATTAAAGTTTAAAGACAAAAGTGAGCATAAACTATTAAAGTGGAACTGATAAATAAATTTTAGTTAGAAAATAAGCCAAAATACTTAATCATGATATTTAACCACGTGCATTGCACGTATATAAAACCTAGTATATATATATATGGGAAAAGTGTTCCTAATGTGACGCTTTAGATAATCTTCTAAGGACGCGGCCTAAAATCACATGATTGAGCTACATGTGGATGATCCGCTCTGTTGAACTTGATCTACATATTCTAAAACCCCAACACACCAAGTTTGGGGTGAACCTATCGTCGTTTGACCTTCCGCCGAGCCATGTGAAAAGTTCAATTCATTCAAAACTATTAAAATTGATACGATTGTGTGATGAAGGGTAAACGACTGACAGGTTCACGCCCAAACTTGTGGGAGTGTTGGGTTTTAGATATATAGATCGAAGTTCACAGAGTCAGATCATCTATAATGTAGAGCTCAATCATGTGATTTTAGACCGCGTCCCTTAGAAGATTATCTAAGGCGTCACCTTTAGAACACTTTTCCCTATAGTATATATATATATATATACTATATATATATATATATATATATAATAAATAATATATAATTATATAATATTATATTATATATATATATATATATATATATAATATATATATATATATATATATGATATATAGATATATAATATGAGATTAATGAGTGTCCTATATATCAAGGAGGAAAATGTCCTATGCCAAGGGGGGATTTTCCTCTTGCACATATGTGGCATATCGCCCACCATCACACCAAACTTCTCTCTACTTTTAAGCATGGCTCGATGGATGGTCAATACGATGACAGAATTCACCCCAAAGCTTGGTGTGTTGGGTTTTAGAATATGTAGCATAAAGAAGTTCAACGGAGCGGATCATCCATAATGTCGCACTCAATCATGTGATTTAGAGGCGTCAGGCGAGGAAATCTCCTCCTACGACAAGGATTACCTATCAATCTCTCTCTCTCTCTCTCTTTATATATATATATATATTATATATATATATATATATAATATATATATATATATATATAATATATATATATATATATTACTCTTATTCATTTTTATTATTCAATTTTGACGGATATAACTGTAGGTTTTCATTATCCAACTACGATTATATTGTATCTTGCAACTATGATTTATATTGTATATTGCGTCTACGGATCCGATAGATAACGAATCTGATCGGTTCGCACCTACAAATTGCTGATGTGGCAGTAGGCTGATAAGTTGTGATGGGTCCCGCCAACACGTAAGCCAAAATGGCGAGGAGCCGTACGGGACCGAGATTCCTTGGGGCGGCGGATTGAAGATACATCCCACCCATGAGCCAGCATGCATGGAATCCTCTAGGAATTATTGGAAACAACTGCTTAATTCCATAGAAAAGCTAAATTTTAATAAACCTTATCTTAAACTGTCATAATTAAATAATTAAATTAGTAATAAAACGTCATAAATTGTGAGCTCACGTTACACGACGTGCTCTAGAGGCACACCCCCAACCACACCCTCCACCATACCTCCTCTCCTCTATAGTGCATTGGACCCCACATCAAATTAAAAAAAAAATTGATGTGAGGCCCAATACACTATAGAGAGAGAGGAGGTGTGGTTGAGATTGTGGTTGGGGGTGTGCCCCTAACATTTCTAATATTTTATTCTTTACATCTGAGTTCTGTGTTGCTTTTCAAAGTATAGCATGTTACTATATTCTATTCATTGACTATTCAAATATTTCCAAAATATTTCTGTGATATTTTCATATTAAAAATTAGTCATTTTATAACCTAGCTCTACCTTCAATGAACTTAGAAAACACATCTTCCCTCCCTCGAACATGCCACGTTAAATATGCATCTCAACATATTTTGATTTAGACGACTTCAAAAGTATAATTGGCCAATTTTTAACACCTGAAAGTCGCATGACAATATTTAAGAGAATAGTGGAGCAGATGATTTATAAAGGACAACAAGATGCTACTTAAAAAAAAAAAGCAACAGGGTATTAAATGCCAAAAATAAAAAACAGAATATTTAAGTGCAAAGACATACAAACTATAAAAATTACCCTAACGACACTTAAAATCTGAAAATGGAATATGAAAGTGCAAAGTCATGTAAATCTCAAATCTACATGAAATATAAGCTATTAAAACTGACACGCGTGTCAGTCGTTAGGCGATACTTTAGGAAAAATGATACAGGCACACCCTCTGCCATACCTCCGACCACACCCCCTCTCTCGCTACAGTGCAGGGGACACACTTGAGTTTTTTTTTAAAAATCTCAAGTGGGCCCTCCTGCACTGTAGCGAGAGAGGGGGTGTGGCAGAGGGTATGCCTGTAGCGCCACTCATACTTTAGAATGTAGTGTTGTTTGGGTAACTTTTTAATTTATGACATTTTCTATGAAAACTATAATAATTCATGTAATTTTGTGAAATTTATGAAAAGATACCAAGAACAATTGGAGGCAACGAAACAGAGAAGGGCCCCCACCGCATTTCATGAATAGGCGGCTTTGTTTTCCGCAATTGTTTCCTAATTTCGGAAGAGAATAAAAAGTTTTCCGCAGTCGATAAAAAGAAAAGGAAATAAATAAAACACATCCCTCTTTCAAAGAGCCAGGGTATTCAGTTTTTAAGCTAAAATCCTGCAATCACGGTTCTCTGTGGAGTTTTCTCTCTAGATCTTTCTACCGAAGACTGCTGAATCTGGTGATTTCTTTTATTTAATTTTTAAACATATTTTTTGAATAATGTTTGTATCATAGGAATGGCTACAGGAGAATCCATTTAATTGAAAAAAAAATATGTTCTATTTTATGTTCTTCGAATCATTTCCGCTGCTAGTTTATCATTGACAATGGGACCTTGAGAACTCGGTTACCGGTCCAATATATTGTAGTTTAAAAACGAAAACTTTTGAGATTTTCTATGCGAGCAATAGGTTCATTTTTAATTACAGCTCTTAGTTCAAGAGAAAGCTCTGCTTGTTTCCGTTTGTTGTTCGTATAGGTACCTTATCCTTAATACGGTGAGTTTTTGAGTGCCTGAAACTTCTTCTATTTTGAGAAATTTCAATTCTTTGAAGTAAAAAAGACTCCTTTTATTTCTTGGATAAAAATTTGTGCACTAGTGATTGATGATCAATTAGGACTCGAGTATAATAATTATTTCAAGTGACCAAGCCAGGAGTATATTGAATATGTTGTCTTTCTTGCAGTTAAGGTTAACTTTATCAAATTTTCTTTTAATCCTCTGTTATCAGTTTTTTTTAATAAGTTTGAAAAGAGCCCCATTTTCTCTTTTATCTTGCAGAGAGCCTGCATGGGTATTCCATTCCTGCCAAAACCCTCTGAGAATAGTTTCTGTAGTCAATGAGATCATTCTACTGCAGCAGTTTAAAGTTCGGCAAATTTCTTGTCTATTCTTTCTTTCTTTCTTTCTTTTTTCTGGGATAATGCTAGTGTTCATGGAAATGGTGTTATAACATCTCACTTTGATTCGAACAAGGAACTTTGTACCATTGTAATTTCTTTTTCACATTATTATTTCAAATTCCACTTCAGTTTTTATTGGAAAATGGCACCTAGAAAATTCAGTTATGAGCCCAATTACTTTGCCCCCCAAAAAAAAAGATATACATTCAAATATTGAAGCGCCGATTTTGACCTAAGTGGAGATTTTTTATGTTTTAATAAGGAAAAAGGTAATCAGAATGTCTAAAAGAAATAATCCATATTAAACTTTGATGTGAACTGTTACTTCATCTGCTGGTTTCCTTTTATGTTTTAGAGCTCTTAGTTGAAATGATATTTTGGAAGAAATCTACATCCAACTAAGTGTGGTTCTTGTTTTATTCCAGATAAGTTTATAGATAATAACTGAATAGTTTGAATGCCTTGAACTTTTCTTTTCTTTTAAAGACAATTTGAATTAATTTTTTGAACTAAAAAGCTTTAATTTCTTGGACACACATTTATACGCTTGTGTTTGGTAAATAATTCAATACTTCAAGAAGGAAGAAATTTTTCGTGCAAAAAGATTTAAGTGGCCAAAACAAGAAATTTGGATAAGTAAATGGAATTTGGGTGGATTCAGTTAGGTGAGTGATTTTGTCTTGTCTCGTTTCTCCTCTCTTTTGTTTTCATGTGTTTTCTTTCTTTCGAACGAGGTTAATATAGTATCCCGCCTTTAATCTTGTATTTTTAATATAGAATAAAATAATTCTGACAAAGGGCAAATTTTTTTAATTTTAAATTTTTATAAGGTAGGTATACTCTTTTTATACAAGATTAAACTTTATAAGGTAGGTATACTCTTTTTATGTTTCTTCCTTGTGATGTCGTGGACTTATGCTTGTAATCTTATCTTCCTCTTGAACCCTTTTCTCTTTCAACTTTTTAATACTGTAATATGGGTTTTGTTTGATTGTTTGCTGAAATGAAGTTCCAAAAATAATAATAGATAACCTTTATACCTGTAATCTGTGATATATTCCTTGGAGAAACATTTAAAATATCTTCATTGGCGAGTGGTGAGGGAATCGATTGAATCATATGGGTTTTCTTCTCAAGTAGATAAAGAGGAGGGTTGCTGTTTATCCTTAGGAGATTTAAGCTTGGATTCTGATATTGTCAGTAATAACCAAAAAGCCACCTTTGCTATTTTTATTGTTCAATTAGTTTATATGGAGCAAAGTAAAAAACAAAATAAAGTTAAAAGAAAACATGAAGTTTGGTTTTATCTTAAGCTCATGTAAGACTTCATATTTTTCTCAAAGAAAATGTAAGACTTTATATTCACTGATAAACTCTGTTATCTTTTACCATATCCACTTTGACAAAATCAGGGAAAAGTTCCTTTTTTCAATGAAAGACATTATATGAGCCATGATGTTTGTGTTTCTTTAAACTGTAAGAATGTGCCTAAGCATATCTGGAGAACCTTTCAATTGCGAACTAAAAATTATATTTCTTTTTTGAAATTTAAGATATATTTATTAAGTTTACTTCAGTTAGTTTTGTAAATAAAAGGCCTGACATGTTTAATATATTTCTGCAGCGAAGGGTTTTAAGAGTTACTGACATGGGTTTCTTGGCACTCTTTGTTACTGCTTCAGTTCCAGTTCTTAATGTGCTTTTGGTGACTGGTGTTGGCTCTTTTATCGCCACCAACTACATAGGAATTCTACATGAAGATGCGAGGAAAAATTTAAATAATGTGAATTTCTGTTGTTTACATGTCTATAAGATGTTGCTTTTTTCCTTCTTGTATCTGGAAATCATCTTCTGTTATTTGAATAGCACACTTTCTTTCAACTATTAGTTCAGTATTGTCTCTATATATATTTATTCGGTTGTATAAGAAAGCCTTCTAACAAATTACTACAATTGATTTTCTTCTCTATCTTATTCTTTTAGTGAAGTGAATGGACAGATGCCCTTGATACTGAGGACATTCTAGAATAATGTTTAACTCAAGAGATGTATTTCAAGAGGAACTAACAATATACTTTCTATGAACAGGTTGTATTTTACGTGTTTAACCCAGCTCTCGTTTCGACCAATTTATCTCAAACAATAACACTGGATAGCTTGGTTTTGCTGTGAGTTATATCTGATCTTTGTATATATCTTAATAAATCAATTTTAGTTATGCAGTCTAACAATAGTTATCTTCTTTGCAAATAAGTATTATAAGTTGCTAAGCTAAAATGTGGTTTTACCTTTTTGTACATGGACATCAACTAACAAACATAAAATTGATAACTCTTCTTATCCAAATCTTTATTATATTGACATGCTGAGCTAACTGTACTCAATTGGTTGTTGAATCTTATATTCTAACTTGTCCATAAGAAATTCTCTAAGCATTAGTATGTCTCTGGAT